AATCCCAGCACTTTGGGAGGCTGACGTGGGTGGGTCACTTGAGGTCAAGGAGTTCGGGACCAGTCTGACCAACATGGTGAAATCCCATCTCTACTAAAAATACAAAAATTACCTGGGCATGGTGGTGGGCATCTGTAATCCCAGCTACTCAGGAAGCTGAGGCAGGAGAATTGCTTGAACTCGGGAGGCAGAGGTTGTGGTGAGCCAAGATCATGCCACTGCACTCCAGCCTGGGTGATAGAGCAAGACTCTGTCTCAATAAAAATTTAACAAAAGAAATAATGATCCCCTCCTCCCCTATAAAGCACACACTAGCCTTTCCTTTTTGCCACAGCACATGAAAAATACCCACTCTGACGTGGGGAGACGTGAAGTGGGGAGTGAATGTTTATGAAGTGACTCTGTTTGACAGGTGTTTTAAAGGCCTCTCGCAGTGACTTTGTGGCTGGGCATCCACATGGGCAGATGAACCCGTCCACGTCAGCAGAGGAGCCAAGTCTCGGAGGGGAGCAGCGCCTTTCACAGAGAGCTCCCGCAGCAGTGAGTGGCAGTCCTGTAGTGAGGGTCCTGTGGGCTCCTTGCATTCTCAAATGGAAGGAATTGCTTATCAAACTCAGTCAACACATTCCCCTTTCCATTTAGACTTCCAGAATTTCATCCTCTTCCTTTAAGCCCTTTTTAAAATTTGGGGTTGATCACATTTGTTAATTTTGAGGATGAAAATGTAATATGTAAACATTATCGAAAAACTGAGTAACAGTTTATTTTGTACATTGGAGTCCATCAATCATTGCAGTACTAAGATGCCCCAGGTGTATTTCCACTTGGACTAGACTTTTTAACATAACCATCCCATATGATCAAGTGATGATTAAAGCTCATGTAACCAGGGCAAAGTCGTCCCCATCAGAGAGGCTACTGCAGGGCCATGGGATGTGTCGGGCCAAGGGGTGCTCTGGGCTCTGCTGTCGGGGCAGAGGAGGGAGATCTGCCAGGTGCACTCGCCTTTGCCTCCTTTAGGTATCACTCCTGCTCAAGGGTCCGTGACAGACATCAGGTCATGCCCAGTTGAAATAACTGCCTCCAAGTGCTCCAGGCAGGAGAGGCAGCTAGAGGAGGGCAGGAATGAAGAGGAGACACCCCCCCTTCTGACAGGCACTCCCTGCAAACCCCAGGAGGCCGTCATTCTGTCGAAGGAGTTGGGGTGGTAGCCCCCCGCCCTGCCCATCCAGAAAAGGCCTCCAGCCCTCACAAATGGGCGCCCAAGGGGATAGCCACCATCTACCCAGAGGGGTGCAGGAGGAATGTGGTGGAAGCTCGAGCTCTCTTCAAAGGAAAAAAAAAAAAAAAAACGGCCTGTCCCTGTGGCTTCCCTGCGTCTCTTTCCCTCCTGCTCATACGTTTGGAATAAGCGGCCAGAGCTCACCTCTTACCCCTGCCTGGGTTAAGCAACCCTGAGAAAACTGCGTTCTCTACTCTAGGGCTCTCTGCCTCTTCCACCAACCCACTCCACTGCCCATGGTTTCTGTGACTCCCTGTTCCCAGAGGCCTACCCCAGGTGAGCAGAGCACAGGGAGAGGAAGCCGTTGAGAGATGGATGCAGCTCAGCCCTGGTCTGCCCGCTGCTCCCTGACCACCAGACCAAGCCTGGCTACAGCGGTCCCTCAGGCTCCACAAGCCCCGTCCTGTTACAATGGCAGCAGCGCTGCAGTGGAAATGGAGCTCCTATGTGAGACAGCGTTGGAAGAAATGGTGAAAAGTCCACCACCTTCTGCTGCCAAAAGCCTAACCGCGGTAGGGCGTTGGCCTCAGACCGGATCCCACGCTGCCCCCAGGAGCTGTCAGCCGCGCTCATCACCTTTGTCCACATGCCAGGGGAGTGAGCACCTGCTGATGCCACCAGCATGCAAGAGTTAGGGCTGAACAATGCACGTCCCCGTTCATTCCTGCTGGTCACAGACCACCGAAGGAGGCCCATGAAGCAGACTCACAATGCATGGTGAGGGCCTTTGAACAGAAGATGGTCTTAGACTAGTAGGCAGACAAAGACATGTTGGTCTTTGCTGAGAAGTGACACTTCAGTCATGCTGTATCCAAAAAACCAGGCACACTGCGGAGGGCAGAGCACCCTGTCTGAGAGAGAAGATGACCACTGGACCCATAGCCAGGAGAGCCAGAGCTCTTGGCAGGGTGGAGCCACGTGACTTCCGACCTAGCTCAGTTTCCACACAACAGAATTGCGTTCATTAAAAACCCAGGGACAGCCGGGCACATGGCTCACATCTGTAATCCCAGCACTTTGGGAGGCTGAGGCAGGTAGGTCAGCAGAAGTCAGGAGTTCGAGACCAGCCTGACCAACATGGGGAAACTCCCATCTCTACTAAAAATACAAAAATTAGCTGGATGTGGTGGCACACACCTGTAATCCCAGCTACTTGGAAGGCTGAAGCAGGAAAATCACTTGAACCCAGGAGGTGGAGGTTGTAGTGAGCTCAGATCGGGCCACTGCACTCCACCATGGGTGACAGAGTGAGGCTCCGTCTCGAAAAGCCCAGGGAAGCCAGGCATGGTGGCCTGTAATCCCAGCACTTTGGGAGGCTGAGGCAGGTGGATCACAAGTTCAGGAGTTCAAGACCAGCCTGACCAATATGGTGGAAACTCTGTCTCTACTAAAAGTACAAAAATTAGCCAGGCGTGGTGGTGGGCGCTTGCAGTCCCAGCTACTTGGGAGGTGGAGGCAGAAGAATCACTTGAACCTGGAAGGTGGAGGTTTCAGTGAGCCAAGATTGCACCACTGCACTCCAGCCTGGGCAACAGAGAGAAACTCCATCTCAAAAAGGCCCAGGGAGCAGGCATTTAGGAAGGCCTCGGTGGTAGAATTTGGCAGATGTCGTCTTTGGCTAATCTTGCAAGAGCTCAGGTTCCTCTCAGAGACAGCAGGAGGTTGGACAGGCCTTGCTCCCTTGACCCTCTCTGAGGGCCGTTCCTGTGCAGCCGTGGGGGCAGGGGCCGCTACGTTCGTTTGACTCTGGTGAATATTTGGATTGCCTCAGATCATCAAGGGAACACTGCAGCGGGAAGAGTTGGACTGAATGCATTGTGACCCTAGGACGCTTCTTGGAAATTGCTTTTTAAAATAAACCCCTGCCATCAGCCTGTTTTCATTTGCCTCCCTACCCCAAGAAGCCGAGTTCAAACATAAACCTCCATTCTTCCGGGTTCTCACTCATCAGGTGCTGCTGTAAGATTTCAGGAAAGGGAAGGCTGGTCTGGCATCTCCACCCGCGATCTGCATGTTTTTAACGGCACTCAGGCCGAGACTCTTTACAGTCAGGCAGGAAGTGTTTCCTAGATTACTCTGCAGTGTTTATCTTTGACAGCCTGGCGTTCCAAGAGCCATAAATTTGCTGTTTCCTTGGGTTTTCTTGAAACTGGGCGCCTCTGTGTGCAGTTGCCCCCGCAGGGATCGAAGCTAGATTTTAGCTCTAGAGCAGTCTGCATGTGGGGTGAGCTTCTGAGACCCCTTGGGTGTGGGGCGAGCCTCTCCCAGGATGGCAGCCAGGCTCCCTCAAGTCTCTACCCTTGCAGGACCTGCAAACCTGGCCTAGAAGGTGGGCCGTTTGCTCCTAGCACGCACAGGCAGGCCCAGGTCAGATCTGTGAGCCCTGTCGCGAAGCCCTGATTCTCTCCGTCTTCAGGGGGATAAAAATATTGCTGTCCGGGACTCGCCCTCCTTCTATAAACAAATCAGTGAAGCCCCAGCAAACCGGGGTGTGTTGTCGTTGGCACCTTCATGTAAGAGTGCCAGCCACCCACCCAGGCTACTCCTCGGAGAAGGGGCTGTGGTGGCCAGAAAGCCTCCTGGTAATTGGAAACAAAGGGGTGTGGGGGCTGCTCAGGGATCGGGGTGCAGGCCTCCCAAGTCGGTGCACCCTTTTACTCTCTTCCTGCTCAGACCTCTCCAAGTTGCTTTCCCGAGAAACCTGCACAACAGCGGGACAACGCAGGGTTCAAACCAGAACAAACTGCGCCTCAACTTCAGCTCTGCCACTTCTGAGGCTCCCACCTTTCCCAGTCCCATCTCGGCAGCCACATCCATACAGTGGGGACGCAGGCATCTGCCTTGAGACAAAGATGACGATGTAAAAAATTCCGTTACTTAGGAGAGACCCCGTACGAGGTGGAGTTGACCGACGAGGGAAGATGTGCCTGTCCAAGTGGACCTGGGCAGGGCAGCGGGTCCCCCCCCACCCCGAGCCCTGGCTGCCCCTGCCCAATAGGTCTGCAGAGCAACTTCCTTGGCACCGTTCAGAGACCCTCTACATATGGGTGTCTCCCTGGAATGCTCTAGCATCCCCTTTGAACTTCGTTGGATCTAAATTTAGACTCCCAGCTTTATCACTCATGCTTGACTAAGTTATTTTTATTTTTTCAAGGCTTTTGGAGATTTCCTTCATCAGGAAAAGGTCGGAAGTAGATGTCCCACGGGATAGTATTAACAGGTCGGCACCCCTCCCTCCTTACCCATGCTCAGGAAGTGGGGATGGGGACAGCACTCAACTCACTTTCCTGTGCCCTCAGGGTTCACACCTTGGGCAGGAGTGGGGATGATTCTCCTCCCCTCCCACCCATCTGACAATGAGTTTGGGCTTTGGGGGGAGGAAGAAAGGGAAAAGAATGAGGTTTCGAGGACTGTGGGGTTGCCTGAAGAGAGATTTGCCTCTCGGGGGACACTGCTTCTCACCCCTTCATCAAAGTGTGGCAGTGACGTGGGAGTGTGTATTCTAGCTACTGCAGAAGGCACGTTAGCTTCCCCAGCCTCATTGCACACACAGCAATACAGATAATGTATGTCATGACTTGAAAATATTTTTAGCTCCATGAGGCCCTGCTAACCTGACCTACCCAGATAGGTGAGGCTCTCAGAAGTCATCGCCACACTAGAAGACCCATCCTTGTGAATTCAGGGGCTTCGGACAGATAAGGAGACAAGAAAGCAATCAGGTAGGCTTTGCACATTTTAAAAAATTGAAAGAACCATGGTCCTGTGTGTCTTGGAAATCATCATCTCTAAATTTCATCTCAGTTCAACTTTGGCAGTGCTTAAGGAGGTTAGAAAGACTCGTGCGCTGTGACTTTCCTCGGGAAGGCAGCACTCATTACCTCTCCTCTGCCTTAGCGTCTTCCTGGCAATGTCCCAAATTACTGTCCACTGAAGGCAACACAGACAAAACCTGGGGCTGACACTAGGAAGAGGAGGGAGACCTGATTTCTCTTCCTCAAAATTGCATTTCAAAACAGTCCTCCCAACAGCTGTCTTAAAAAATTTCACTCCCATCCGCAACTTGGTAAAGGCTGTGGATAAAAGGGTTTTTTTTTTTTTTAGCGGTTTGCTCCTTCCCACTTCAAAGCACTTTTTTGGGACATGCATCGCAGTTAAGGGTCAAAGGACTTGGGTACAGAGAGACAGCGCAGAGGCTTTGGTCATAACCCCGATGCGTTCCCACCCTCAGCCTGAGCCAGGCTGTTCTATCACCACTGTTTAATCTAACATCACTCCAGTGGTGAGCCTTTTGCAGAAGATGAAGGAAATCAGAAAACAGGTAAGGTCACCTAGCAGGTGCACCAGCCAAATCCCCACAGTGAACGCCGAGTGGGGCTGTTCATGAATGGTCACAGCAATATTCTGCTGTCTCACGTCTCTGCCACATCCCCTCCCCATGAACCCAGGGTGGGGTCCTTGTCACTGCCTCAGTAGAGTACAGGAAAGGTGACATTCTGTGACGTGAGGCCAAGTTATGAAAGCCCACAGAGCTTCCATCTGACCCTCAGAATGTCCACCTTAGGAAGGCAGCCACCATATTGTGAGGAAGCCCAGGTCACTTTCTGAAAGGCCTGGCTCTTCCTCTCCCCGCTTCATTCTATCACAGTTACCTCCCAGGTCACTGTCGTGCCTCTTAGAAGCTACGCAAAAGACAACGGGATGGAGGAAGGTCCTAGTGCTACTTTTGAGCTGCATCTTTGCTTCTCTGACATCCACACATACTTGTCCTTTTGCATTTTCTGGGACCAGGACCAGGAGCCTGTAGTCAGTCTCCACCAATGTCAGATTCACAGGGAAGCCTCCACCCTCCTCACCTGCATAGCCCTTCTACCTTTCGTGTTGTGTTTTGGATTTTCTTAGAAGTCCTCCAAAACCCTATGAGCCACCCACCCACAAAATGTCCAAGCTGCCCTGTTCTTGCCTCTTTCCAGAGGAGAGAGAGCATGCTGTGACCCCGCCCTCATCACTCCGCAGGGATTCTACTCTCAGAACAGGAAGTGTCTCTCCCTGGGACTCTGCACTGCAGGCTGAGCGGGAATGTTTGACGATGATGAAAGGGTCAGTTCATCATGAAGACACAACAGTCAAATGTGCATGGACATAAAAGCTTCAAAATGCAGGAACCAAAATTCAGCAAAATTAAAAGGAGACAGATAAAATGCTCAGCCCTGGCCATGGAAAAAACACCCCTCTCTCAGCAATGGAAAGAACTAGACCAAAAGAAAAAAGGAAGGAGACCATCTGATCACCACCTCCACCTGCTCGGCACTGACAGTGCAGACACCTTTGCCAAGAAACTTCCCCAAAACATCACCACAGTCTGCTTTCCCCACGGTGAGTGGCAGCCGCCTCAGGAATGAGGGGGCCCCTGCCCTCAGTGCAAATCAGCTCCTACAGTGTTGGTCAGAAGAGATGCCAAACCCCATAACTTCCACGGACAGCCCATGTGAAGTCCGTAAGGGTCAGATGCCATTAGCGCCACAGAAAGTGACCCTTCCTGTGTGCGGGTGGTTGACACTTGAGACAGAAACAAATCCCCGTCACTCCCCCTTTAGCAGTGAGACCTAGCCTTGGAAGCTGGGTTGCAGCGTGGAGCCTGTCTGCCCCCAGGGTCACTCCTCATCAGAGCTGGCCTCTCCAGCTTCCGGCTATAAATAACTGAGGGGCAGGCCCGAAGCCTGGAAGGAGACAGGACACATGCTGCTTCCTTCTGCCTCTGTGGGCAAGGGGGCTCTGCCCCACCCCCAACACAGTCCACCTTGTGCTCCACGAGAAGTGCCCAGAGTGGGGAGGCCTCTCCGTGTGTGCAGGCCCCTGAGGGCCGCTGGCTGGGACACAAGAGTTGAAGGAGCTGCCTGATGACGGGTGTTCTGTGGCTTTTCCAAATAACCTTTCCTTTTTTTTCTTGAAACAGTCTTGCTCTGTCGCCCAGGCTGGAGTACAGTAGCGTGATTACAGCTCACTGCAGCCTCGACCTCCTAGGCTCAAGCTATCCTCCCACCTCAGCCTCCTCCGTAGCTGGGACCACAGGCAGGAACCACTGCATCCAGGTCATTTTAAAATTTTTCTTTTGTAGTGGCAGAATCTCACTGTGTTGCCCAGGCTGGTCTCAAAGTCCTGGCCTCAAGCACTCCCCCTGCCTTGGCCTCCCACAGTGCTGGGATGACAGGCCTGAGCCACTACCCAGCTAGACCCTTCCTCTGAATCCCTGGCAGCTACTGGACAGTGCTGGCCAGCATCCTAGGGAAGGAGAGGCAGGGCGGCCCTCCGGTGTTAATTCTCTTCACTGTCCCAGGAACAGGGGGCCGACTCTGCTCTGGAGAGTTTTCGGGCACTCAGCTTCCTCCTCAGAGAGGAGAACTTGTCCCCTAGGACCTTACGCAGCCCCGCACTGTCCCTGCCACAGGGAAGTTCCTGCCTGGTGGCTGGGAGCTGGCCAGTGAACATCTCCCAGCGGTCTAGGGCATCCACGGCTCTGTCCACCTGCGCCAGCTCCTCCTCTGCCCCTTCCCGCTGCAGGGCCTGGATGCACTTGGCCAGCCACCGTTCGTGCTTCTTGATGGCCTCCACCGGGCCCCCAAGTGAAGGTGGAGCCTCGGAGGCCTCCAGGGAGCTCAACCCATCCTCTGGCTCCAGCCCTGAGGAGAAGGCATGACTCCAGGCGTCAGGGGTGAGGGGCTCCGACATGCTGGTGCCGGGCTCTGAGTCACTCTCGCAGCACATGCCTGAGTCGGTGCTGACGGGCGGGGTGTCCTCCCACACCGATGGCTCCCCTGCGTCCTGGCTGGGCCACGTCCCTGCCACTGCCTGAGTCCAGGTGTAGAGTCTCTAAGAGGGAGAAACACAGGCTAAGTTTACTCCAGGCCAGCCCTTCTCTAGACAGGAAACTGCCCAGAGACCCAGCTCCTTACCTAAGGGGACCCCAGTGTCCTCAGTTACGCAGGAGTCAGACTGGTTACATGAGGGCTCTTCTGACCAGCGGCCTTTTGAGGACTCATGTCCAGGCTTTGCTGGAGTCGGAGGTGCCCACCCCCAAGAGCCCATCATTCACCATTCAGGAACTTCATCAGGTACTTGTCCAAAGTTAAAGAATAGAAAGCTTGGGTGCAGTGGTTCACATCTGTAATCCCAGCACTTTTGGAGGCCAAGGTGGGCAGATCACAAGATCAAGAGTTTGAGATCCACCTGGCCAATAGTGAAAACCCGCATCTACTAAAAATACAAAAATTAGCTGGACATGGTGGTTGGTGCCTGTAATCCCAGCTACTTAGGAGGCTGAGGCAGGAGAATCGCTTGAACCTGGGAGGCGGAGGTTGCAGTGAGCTGAGATTGTGCCATTGCACTCCAGCCTGGGTGACAGAGTGAGACTCTGTCTAAAAAAAAAAAAAAAAAAAAAAATTTGCTTTCTATATCCTTTTTTCTCAGCTCACTGCAACCTTCGCCTTCCGAGTTCAAGCAGTTCTTCTGCCTCAGCCTACCAAGTAGCTGGGATTACATGTGCCTGCCACCACACCCAGCTAATTTCTATATTTTTATTAGAAATGGGGTTTCACCATATCGGCCAGGCTGGTCTCCAACTCCTGATCTCAGGTGATCCACCTGCCTCGGCCTCCCAAATTGCTGGGATTACAGGTGTGAGCCACTGTGTCCAGCCAGAAAGCTTATAATGCATTAAATAAAATTTTAAATTTTAAAACAAAGGTCTGGGCACAGTGGCTCACGCCTGTAATCCCACCACAGGAAGGCAGAGGCAGGAGGATCACTTGAACCCAGGAATTCGAGACCAGCCTGGGCAACATAGTGAGATCACAAGGGAAAAAGAAAATGTAAAGCAAAGGGAATACTTGAAACTCACTTCCTAAATATTTTCTACATTTCACTCTTAACTGCCTCTGTCCAGGGGACATGAAGTTTAACACAGTCCCACCGCGTGCCTCCTGACTCAGTGCTGACATTGTGTTGGAAGCTCCTGTCAGCCATGGTGAGACTTTACACCACAGCAAGTGGCAGAGACCACAGGTTGGGCTCTTTCTTCTAGAGGCATTCTTTCTTCTAGAGGCATTCTTTCTTCTAGAGGCATTTCACCCATTGCTCTCGATGGACAGCAGTGACCTTTTCTGGCCAGGCCTTTGGTAAGCTCTCCAGCACCTGCCAGAGTCCTCAGGAGCTAGCCCAGTGACCAGGGACAGCAGGTGACCTCACATCTGCACCACCACCCTCCCTACCACAGCCAGGAGGGCCAGGCCACTCTGGAGTGCCTTCACCCTGGCCCTCTTCCCTCCACAGCCATGGGAGATGGTGCTTGTGGAAGGGAGAGCTCTGGGCAGGAGGAGCTGTGCCCACCAGCTCAGATTCCAGGCAGATCCAGGCTATGCCATGTCAGATGGTTACACAAGACCCCAAGTAAAGGCATCAAGTGAGAGCTCATAACCGTTTCTGCAGCCCAAGCTGCCCCTCACTGCCTGTACAAGGGTACTAATACCTGCCCCTTGACAGGGCACAGCTGGCAGCAGCAACCTTTGCAAGGCGTCACCAGATGCCGATCAACCATCACGCTGCCTGCACCCTCAAGAGACCCTCCTATCCTCAGCCACGGCTGCACCTGGGCTCCGCCCTAAGTCACAGGCTCCCAGAAGCTGTGGCCTTTGTGCCCGCTTCGCCTTCCCTTTACTGCCCGAGTCCCTGCAGTGAGGTGGCGCTGTGATCTGTAAGTACCCCGGGCTCTAGGTGAGCAGCATCACCTGAGAGCCCTGCAAGATGTAGCTCCTCGCTCTGCCCTAGAGGGAAGGAGGGCCCAGCCCTGCCCTGCAGGGAATTCTGACAGGCTCAGTCTGGAAACCATACACCCCCCTGCCACCAGCTCCTGGGCCCAAGACTAGGAGGAAGACGCAGGGGTTCCTAGCACCATTTCATTCACAGCTCTTGTGCTTTTGTGCAGTGACACCTTAGAAGTTGTTTTCACCCAAAAGTGGGTTTAAAGAAAAATTTCCACCATTTGCCTTTGCACTCTGAACTCAGAGTAAAGCTTCTGAGTTTGCAAACACAACTTCCCCTATGAAGACGGACAAGCCCTCTGCTCCACAGCCACGGCAGAGGGGGTTGGGAACAGAGGCCGCCTCCAACACAGCCTTGTCCTGGCAGCTCCCGCCACTTCCCAGGGGGCCTGGGCCGCCTCGAGCGGCAGTGACCCAAGTGTTGGTGATGAGAAAGTCCCTCTGGGAAGAAGACCCGGCCACCACCCCTCCCCCACCACGAAGGCCCCTCCCGGCTGGGGCTCCCATCCCAGCTCTTCCTGAGGAAAAGCTCTTTGCCCCCCCTCTTCCCCACCCAACCCCCCCTGCATCCTCCCAGGTACTCGCCACACGCAGGCACCGGCAGGACTCGCCCTGCCGCCGGTGAGACCGGGCGGAACTGGACCCCAGTGCGGGTCCCGGGCTCTGCTGGGCTGGAACTTGGCAGTTGACAAAGCGTGTGCGCGGTCCCTGTGCCCCGAACGGTCTCCAGGTGGCGCTCGCGGGCCTCCGGAGTGCAGGTCCCAGAACGGGCTGCGCGACTCACCTGGTACCTCTCGATGAGCCTGAAGCCCAGGACGTGCTGCAGCTTCCGCAGGCAGATGGGACAGAGGTCCAGGGGCCGCCGCAGGGCCTCGTCCAGGCTGAGTGCACCCTGCATGAGGCAGCGGAGCCAGCGGCAGTTCCCCAGGCCCAGGAGGTGGCAGAGCTCGTGGCACGTGACCTGGGGGAAAGGCCACCAACCACCTTAACTCACTGCCTTGTCCCTGCATTGGGCAGATTCCCAGGCAGCCCAGGATGGCCACATTCAGGGCCCCAGGGGAAAGGTGAGTCAGGGTAGGTGGCCCTGGGGAAGCCGCACAGGACTGGGGCTTGGGAGCCAGACAGACTCAGGCTCTAATATCTACCCTGCTTCTTCATAGCTCTGTGGCCTTGGTTTCCTCATTCTGTAAAGTTAGGGGTTGGTCCTCTTCATGGTGAGGATGGGGCAGTGTGACAGAGCGACACAGCACAGGCTCAGCCAGCACCCTCCCGTCCCCTCTTCCCAGGCCCCTCCACCCACCTTGCAGCACTGAACCATCCCCAGGGCGCTGAAGCACATGGCCCAGCCTCTGTCCTGCAGGGGGGCCTCCGGGCTGTCTGTCACCACCTCTCCCAGGGCCAGATCAGGGGCACTGGGCCCCGACTTTGGGAATTCCCCCGAGAACCGGGCGAAGCTGCAGACGCCCACTTCTGGAGAGAGATGGAGAGAAGGGCACTCTAAGGGGTCAGCCTTGGTTCCAGGGGGCCCACGATCAAACCCACCTTATGCTCTCGTGCAACCCGGCCATGGCCCGAGGACACACTGGTCCTGGACGGCCCTGTCCTGCCCACACGTCCATGTGAAGATGGGCCCTGGGGCAGAGGAACAGCTCCTATGTCATTCCTCCAGACCTGGAAGGTGGCATCTGTTCCCATGCATGGGTGTTCACTTCCACCAGCAGGGTCCTTGAGGCAAGAGCAGAGAGGGTGCTCCCCCCCAGGCAGAGGGGGCCCTGGCTCACCGTGCCCTGGAAGGAACTTGCTGAAGGTGAAGCTCCAGGCCTCATGCGGGTACAGGTCAGACAGTGTGAGGCCCAGCACGCACAGCGCGTCTCCGGGCTTGTTGTTCTTCAGGAAGGACAGGATGCCGTCTGTGGGGAGAGGGCCAGGAGGCAGCTGGAGCTGCCCATCTTCCAGGTTCAGGCCAGCAAACCTTGTCATTCTCTTCTTCTCCCTGGAACCCGTCCCCTCCCAAGTCAGGCATGGGCCAGCAGCCTCTGGTCTGACCTGAGGGCGCACAGTGCTCAGAGCTGCATGATGTGAAGTGAGGGCTGGGGCCATTTGGAGATCAGGACATAAGTCTGAGAGGCCATCGACAGCCCAGTGAGGATGCTGGAGAGGCAGCCAGGCCAATAAGACTCACGCTTGTAGCCCCAGGAAGGATAAGCCACCACGCCGCGGCAGCTGAGTGACAGCCCCAGCAATGTCCACGTCCCAGCCCAGGGACCTATGAGTCCCCACAGCAAAAGGAACTGCAGATGATTAAAGATCTTGGGATGGCAGGTTATTCTGCATCAGCCAGGTAAGCCTGAGGCCGTGCATGGTGGCTCACGCCTGTAATCCCTGCACTTTGGGAGGCCGAGGTGGGCGGATTACCTGAGGTCAGGAGCTCAAGACTAGCCTGGCCGACATGGCAAAACCCCATCTCTACCAAAAATACAAAATGAGCTGGGCATGGTGGTGCATGCCTGTTGTCTCAGCTACTCAGGAGGCTGAGGTAGGAGAATTGCTTGAACCCGGGAGGTGGAGGTTGCAATGAGCCAAGATTGCACCACTACATTCCAGCCTGGGCAAAAAGAGCAAAACTTCATCTCAAATAAAAACTCCTGATTAGAGGCAGCAGAGGGTCGGGGTGAGTGCAGGAGGCCTGAGGGCACTGCAGGGCTGGCTCTGAGGAAGGGGAAAGGCCGTGAGCCAAGGACACGGGTGTCTCTAGAAGCTGGAAAGGGCGAGAAATGGATTCTCCCTGAAGCCTCCACAAGAAACCAGCTCTGCTGACCCTTAACTTTAGCCCGGGGCACTCCTGACCCACAGAGCTATAAGACCACAGTGGGTTTTCCCAGCCAGCAAGTTGTGTAACTTTTTAGCATGGCTCCCAGGAGCGTGAGTGTGGGCAGATACAGGAGAGGCCCAGGGGCTAAGCCTGGACACGATGACGTCAAAGCCAGGAAACTAGGGAGGGAAGGAGGCAGAGCAGCCGCCACAGTCCCAGGAACACCAGAGAGGGTCTCAAGCTGACGGCAGCGAAGAGGGTTCAGGGCACAGAGACATGCAGAGGAGAAAAGTGTTTTCCAAGGAGTTCCGCCATTAAAAGGAACAGGTAGGCAAGGAGGTTTTTCTGTGTTTTTGAGATAACATCTCACTCTGTCACCCAGGCCAGAGTGCAGTGGCGCAGTCATAGCTCACTGCAGTCTCGGCCTCCTGAGCTCAGGTGATCCTCCCACCTGAGCCTCCCGAGCAGCTGGGACTACAGGCATGAGCCACCACAGAGAGCTAATTTTTTAAGTGTTTTATAGAGACAAGATCTCACTATGTTGGCCAAGCTGGTCTCAAACAATCCTCCCGCCTCCACCTACCAAAGTGCTGGGATTACAGGTATGAGCCACTGTGTCCCACCTAAAAATGTTTAAATTAGGAGTTTTTTGCATGGCCTTTCATATTAACTCTTCAGTTCCAGCATGCATTTTACATTCACTGCACATCTTATTTGAGACCAGCTACCTCTGTTGCGTTCAGAGCCACATGGGGCCAGTGGCTTCTGTCTTGGACAGTGCATGTCGAGGGCATGACCTTGGAAAATGCATGATGGCTCTTGGAGGAGAGGCCAAGGAATTTTTGCCAACAAGGTGATGATGATGATTGTTGTGGATCAAGTTATGTCCCCCAAAAACATAGATGGAAGGCCTCACCCTGGGACCTGTCATTTGACCCTATTTGGAAATAGATTCTATGCAGAAGTAACCCAGTGAAGATGAGGTCATTAAGGTGAGCCCAGGCTGGGTGCGGTGGCTCAAACCTGTAATCCCAGCACTTTGGGAGGCCGACGTGGGTGGATCACTTGAGGTCAGGAGTTCCAGACCAGCCTGGCCAACATGGTGAAACCCCATCTCTACTAAAAACACAAAAATTAGCCAGGCATGGTGGCACGCACCTGTAATCCCACTACTCAGGAGGCTGAGACAGGAGAATTGCTTGAACCCAGGAGGCAGAGGTTGCAGTGAGCCAAGATGTGCTCACTGTGCTCCAGCCTGGGCAATGGAGCAAGACTTCATCTCAAAAAAAAAAACAAAGGTGAGCCCAGTGACTGGCTGGCGTCTTAGAAGAGAGGCGGAGGCACACGGGGTAAAGCCCACATGAAGTCAAAGGCAGAGGTTAGAGTTATGTAGCTGCAGGCCACAGAGAGCCAGCCAGTGCCAGTGCCCACCAGAAGCTGGAGGCAGCAAGGGAGGACCCTCCATGGAGTCTTCAGAGGCCACGTGACTCTGCCAAAACCTTGGTTTCAGCACTGCGGGCTCCAGAAATATGAGACAGGAAAGGTCCCTAAGCCACCCAGTTTGTGGTACTTTGTCACGGCAGGCCCAGGAAACCAATACAGTGATCCAAACCACGCTGCTCTCGGGGGAAGATGGCAGGACCCCATCTCTACAAAACTAAAAATAATTTAGTCACGAGTGGTGGCACGTGCCTGTGGTCCCAGTTACTTGGGAGGCTGAGGTGGGAGGATCGCTTGAGCCCAGGAGTGCAAGGCTGCAGGGAGCTGTGATTGTGCCACTGCGCTCGAGCCTGGGTGCCAAAGCAGGACCCCATATCTAAAAAACAATCTAAAACCATGCTGACCTGACCACATAAATGCAGCCCAGCATGCCCTTTGGGTTCCACCTGCTTTTGAACCTTCCCGCATACACATCCTTCCCCCGCAGTCATTTTTCCGAGGGCTCCACCATGCACCTTCTGAAGTGAGGCTGGGGGAAACAGCAGTTCATTCACTAAGCAGAGGGGGTAAAAAGTGCTGGAGTGACCCTTTTGGACTCTGCTGGGCTGTCTTTGAGCTACCATAGTCCTGGCATAGACAGGATGGAGCCATGATGGAAGCCATAACAGGTGAGATACACTGAGTACAGCCTGGGGGAGCTGAGCTGAGGCTACAGAGGCAGAGCCTGAGAGGCATGGGGTTCCTGGCTCTATTTCAGGGCCAGGGCCAAGACCGACCAGACAGTCCACAGACCCTACTTCAGGACCTCAGGGTCCGGGGAAGCCTGTGGAGTATAGGCTGTGACACAGAAAAGAAATGTGCCACCCAGGGGGTCCCTGTCAACCCCAAAATCTCAGCAGTGGCTGCTCCCTATAACAGTCCAACCATCCTGCCAAAAGATGGCCAGACAGGCAGAATGAATGACAAAGAACAGCTGCTTCAAGCACCCAAGATGGGAAGGAGCAGATTACAGAGGGTTACAGAGGAATAACTATGTAGGGGTGGAGAGCCACCCTATATATGATTATGGTGTTGGCTACATGATGTATGCATTTGCCAAGACTCTACACTGAAAAGGAAGAATTTTACTATCTAAATTATAACTCAATCAACAAGGCAGAGACCTAATGAGAAAACAAAAACAGGGAGGATTCGAGCTCAGACAGATGAAGCTGGGCTGTTTGGATGACCCTAATGACATGCCTCCTACCCTGGGAGAGATGCTGAGCCCTGGGGACCATCAGAACTACCCAGAAATCTTCACGTCTTTGTCCCACAATCAGCCCTTATGTGTCTGGCAGAAAGAAAAGAAAATCCCCTGTGGGGATTTTTTGACCCAGGCCAATAATTCTTCTCAAAGTTAAACTAACTTTTCCAGTAAGATGCCTAGCAATCAAAAATAACAAGGCACTATAACTGAGACAAAATTAGCAGAAGTAACAAATACAGGCACATGGGCACTCCAGATAGCAGAATCATCAGACAGACTAAGCAACTATGTTCATGGACATCAATGCTGAACTTAAATATCACAGGCAACCGAGACCTATAAAAATTGACACTGCTAATTTGAAAAAGAACTAGAAACTATAGAACTCAAAAATGTGGCAAATGAAATTAGGTACACAATATATGGGTGGTTTTTGTCGATTTTTTAATGATGGGGTCTTGCTCTGCCACCCAGGATGGAGTACAGTATTGTGGCACAATCACATCTCACTGCACTTTCAAACTCTGAGTCTCAAGTGATCCTCCAACCTCAGCCTCCCAAGTAGTTGGGACTATAGGTGTGTGCCACCGCTGTTGGCTGTTTTTATATTTGTTGCACAGACAGGGTCTGGCTTAATTGCCCAGGCTGGTCTTGAACACCTGGCATCAGGCAGTCCTCCCACCTCAGCCTCCCAAAGTACTGTGATTACAGGTGTGAGCCACCATGTCCAGCCTCCAATATATGGGTTTAAGAGTCCCTTAGATGTGACTCCAGAGAGAGTAAGCTGAAGGATGAGAATAAATTCAGACTAAAGCATGAATAATCAAAAAAGATATAGAGAAGAGAGAAAGATGGATTAATATACATTCAGTTGGAGTCCCAGGAGAGAAGAGAATGGGGCAGAGGTGATATTTGACAAAAGAAGCACTTGCTGAGAATATCCCAGAACTGATGAAAGCTGACCATCTAGTCATTCAAGCCCTGGCTCCTTCCTGAGGACCTCCCTAAACTTGAGCCAATGTCTCCTATCCACCTAAGGGCCCTCACTTCATTTCCGCCTCTCAACCCGGCCTAACACTCTCCAGCTGCCAGTGACCCACAGGGAAGGGGCAAGGGCTTGAGGGTTTGGGGTCTTCTAGACACATGGAAAGTACTTTGCAAAGACGGAAGGTTGGTGTGATGCTGAGTGAACTGAGAAGGATTCACTTCAAGACAGCTGAAGACTAGCCTGGCCAACATGGTGAGACCCCCATCTCTACTAAAAATACAAACATCGGCCAGGTGTGGTGGCTCACACCTGTTATCCCAGCACTTTGGGAGGCCCAACACGGGCAGATTACCTGAAGTTGGGAGTTCGAGACAAGCCTGACCTGAGAAACCCCATCTCTACTAAAAATACAAAATTAGCTGGGTGTGGCGGCGCATGCCTGTAATCCCAGCTACGTGGGAGGCTGAACTTGAAGGAGAATTGCTTGAACCCAGGAGGCAGTGGTTGTGGCAAGCCAAGATCACACCACTGCACTCCAGCCTAGGCAACAAGAGTGAAACTCAGTCTCGGAAAAAAAAAATTAGCCAGGTATGGTGGTTCACACCTGCAGCCCCAGCTACTCAGAAGGCTAAGGCAGGAGAATCCCTTGAACCTGGGATATTGCAGTGAGCCAAGATTGTGCCACTGCACTCCAGCCTGGGCGACAGAATGAGACTCCATCTCAAAAAAATAAGAAGGGCTCGCTTTTCCTGCTCTGTATGCTCTGGCATTTTCCTGCGGACACTGGCTGTATATGGTTACGTCCCCAGACACTCCTGGTGGGAAAAAGGAACCCCCTGTTTCAGTCTTGCTTCCCAAACACCTGGGAAATGGACATTTCCCACCTACAAAGGAGAAGTTTCCTTTCCTCTCCTGGGCACCTTCCTCCCACCTCTTCCTTCCGGAGAGGCCTGGCTTGGCCTGAGCCACGGCTGCCATCTTCACTCACCTGTGTGGAGCTGGAGTCTGTCAGAGTCCCGGCTGGGGCGCGAGGAGCAGCGGATGGACGTGGCTGCCACTGAGGGCAGGCACTTGACGTGCAGGCCCAGGAAGAAGGCCTCCGTGCAGCTGCGCAGCTGGTGCAGCAGGGAGCTTCCCACCGGCTCCTCACTCAGGTCTGGTGGCAGAGCATTGCTGTGAGCCCCGTGGTGCCCCTGCCCACCTGGGACCCCCTCACCTGGGAGTGCCCACAGGCACCTGCCTGTTGGGTGAATGAGGCCCCTGTGGACCTACCCTGACAGCAAGCAGAGCATAAGGCTTGTAACAGAGATGGAAAGCATGAATTTTTCAAAAGGGCAAACACCAAGGAACGTAGAAGAAAGCTTCATGCTCAGATGAAAGGACAGCAGTGACGATCCTGTGTGACGTCAGGGAAGGGGTGGGCAGGGTCTCACCTGGGGACAGGGACTTCTAGGGTTAGTGCCAGGCACTGTGGCTGAGCAGGTGGCACATGGAGCCGGGCTGCCTGGGGCAAAGAGCAGGACATAGAGGGGGTGCAGTTCAAGGCTGGAGAGGCAGCGGGGGCCTCCCAGGGGATACACATGCCAGATCACACATCAGGAGGACAGATGGACAGGACCAAGGGTAGAAGCCAGGAGACCAGTGAGAAAGTGGCTGCAGGGACCCCAGCCCAACCCAGGCCTCCTGACCCAGCCCCTACATCTCAAAAACATGCCCAAGTATCTGCACATCAGAGCATGAGACACGAGGCTCTGCGCCCTTAGCAGGGAGGTGGGGGAAGCGGGTGGCTCCCAAGCTGCTGGACTGGCTGCTGTGGGGTGGTGGATGCTGAGACCAACAGACACCACAGGGTTTGGGTCCTGAGGATCAGGAAAGGGGCTGCATGGACCACCAGGGCTGGCGACAAGCCTGCGTGGGGCGAGGCCAGCTGAGGTCCGTCCCTGCTCTGGCTTGCCGTTAAGACGCTGAAAGGCATGGTGCACTGCCGTCAGAGGTGGACACCAGCCCTTTTCTCCTCTCCAAGCCCAAGAGCCCCCATCCTGTGTGCTGTCTCTGCCAGGCTGCCCTTGGCATGTAAGAGGCAAAGAGGCAAAGAGCCCCTCAAGCTCCCCACACCTGCCTGTGCCGTTCCCTTCTGAGCACGGATGCCTGTTGTCTCTGCCCCCAGTTTACGCTGGGTCCCCCAAACTCTGTCAGACACAGACTCTGAGGAGAGTGATCACTCTGGGCCACCCTGCTTAGCCCAGCCGCTCCCAGCACAGCATCAGGATGAGCGGCCCAGCCCCAGGGTCAAATAGGCCTGCGTTCCAGTCCCTACCAGTGACCAGCTCTGCAACTCAGGCAGGTCAAGGGACCACTCCCAGCCTCAGTTTCCCCACCTGTGAAATAGGCTAATCCTAATTTTGGCACACCCAATGAGGAAGTGACTTTTTTTGTTTGTTTTTGAGACTTGCTCTGTCACCCAGGCTGGAGTGCAGTGGCATAATCTCAGCTCACTGCAACCTCTGCCTCAGCCTGCCGAGTAGCTGGGATTATAGGCACATGCCACCACACCCAGCTAATTTTTGTATTTTTAGTAGAGATGCAGTCTCACCATGTAGGCCAGACTGGTCTCAAACTCCTGACCTCAGGTGATCTGCCTGCCTCAGCCTCCCAAAGTGCTGGGATTACAGGTGTGAGCCACCGTGCCCAGCCTGGAAGTGATCTTTATACAGCACGTGGCATAGTGACTGGGATGGCTCTAGAGGCCTAGCCAGGACCATGCACATCTGGATGAGGCCACACCTGCATGCGGACTGGTCCCAGAGCCTGGGCTGTCTGAGCACAGTGTCACAATGGGAGTGGGGAGGAAAGAAGCCTGGGCCCAGCCAGGACCTCCCTGCCTCCACTCTGGCCTCCCAACCACCTAGGGCCCTCTTCCCTCGTTTCTGTCCTGCCAGGGGGCCATGCACAGACGCCCCCACCTTGTGCTCTACCCAGGCTGGTCCCCCGGGAGCGCGCTGATGGCTGCAGGTGCCCCGTACCTATTGGCTGTAGGTAGATGTGCTTCCGAGCCAGGCTGGGCCTCCGGTGCTGCAGGGAGGCGTGGAAGGTCTGGAAGTCCTCGGGGGGCTCAGGGCGGCTCAGGAGCCAGTCGAAGGCTGTGCGGATAAGCAGGGTGCAGAAGAGTGTCCTCTGCGGGTTATAGGCCTCGGCCAGGAAGAGCCGCTCAACAGGGGAGAAGGCGGAGGCGTACAGCTGCTGCAGGGCAGCGTCGGTGGAGACCAGGGCATCCTTCAGGGCCCGGGGCCCGAAGCTGAACTCCTGTGCCTGTCTGCACTGCAGCATGGTGGGTGGGCGGGGCCTGGCCACTCCTGGGAGCTCCTGCTGCTGCCCATGGGCCACCCCGGGGACGGCCACGATCTCCTCCAGAATCTTCCCTGGGGCTGATCACAGCGGCTACCAGGGCCTCCCTGCAGACGAACGCTGGTCCGAGGGCCCACAAGGCCCAGCTCTGCCTGGTCCTGGATGTCCTCAGGCATGGGTACTTCTGGGTCCTCGGCACCCTGTGGGCGACATGAACAGGTGTCCCCTCACTTCTGGGCATACATGGCCCCCTGTCCCAGGCAGGGGATGGGGCTGCTCCCTCCAAGGCCTCATGCAGCCGTCTCTGCCCAGGCCTGGGGAGAAGCTCCATAGAGAACGAGGGCATTGGAGAGAGTCCCGGCCCTCCAGGACACAGCACTGCCACCCAGCCAGCTTGGAAGGACTCTGCCAATCACTTCCTCTTCTCTAGCAGATTGGGTTCCATGGACCACCCAGGGGACGGCCACAGTCTCTTCCAGAAGCTTCCCTTATCCAGAACTGGGTATGGGGAAGTACTTTGCACTTGGAGGGGCCCCCAAGCCCATTTTCCATTCCCTCAGCAGCCAACTCTGTCAGCAGCAGCCCTTAGAAGGAGAACTCCCCGACTCTGTGTGGAGCCCCTGCAGAGCTAGAAGGGCCCCCCATCACCTGGGGTTCCTCCTCACCCAGGGGCCCCACCATCTGGGGCCCCCATCACCTAGGGCCCCCCAAACACCTAGAAACCCTCATCATGGCAGCTCTTATCCCAATTACAAGCTTTCCTGACAGGTCCCTGTGCACCCAGAAGCATATGTTGGGGGGTCCAGGCACCCCCAACAGCACCCAGACGTCCCCAGGACACACGTGAGGGCCCTGAGAACCAGAAGAAGCAGTAAGAGCAGGTGTTCATGCCAAACCCCACTAGCTAGAAGCAGGGAGACGTGGAGAGGCAACAGCAGATTTTAATGCCCAGGACAGACCAGGTGGGGAGGAGACAACAGGCAGCAGGGGGGTGGGGCTGGCAGAACCACAACAAAGTCACCCTGCAAACCAAAGGCTCCGACCCAGAGCAGCAGCTGCGCATCCCCATCCTCATCAGGAACACGCCTGGGAGCCGCCACTGCATGCTTGGCTCTGGGCAACGCTTATGTCTCAGTCCCGAGCCTGAGAAACCTGCAAGGGCAGGTGGGGAGCGGGCCTGGTAGGGGAAGCCTCACAGAACCGATAAAAGCAAAGGGGCAGTTGTGGGGGGAGGCTAGAAATGAACCAGAAACCAGAGAAGTGAGACGCATAAATAATGCAGCAAGGCAGCCACAGCTAAAGACATACGAATATACGCTTATGAATCAGCAGCTCTCAGACCAGGCTTCCTCTAGAGAGCTGAGCTAGACACGCAAAACCCACTTCTCTGCAGACCATCAAGTTGCAAGACCTGCTGGCCCTAGCCAGGAAACCAGCCCTTTTTTTTTTTTTAAGATGAAGTCTTGCTGTGTCGCCCAGGCTGGAGTGCAGGGGTGAGATCTTGGCTCACTGCAACGTCCACCTCCCGGGTTCAAGCAATTCTCCTGCCTCAGCTTCCCAAGAAACTTGGATTACAGGCACCCACCACCACACCCAGCTAATTTTTGTACTTTTAGTAGAGACAGGTTTTGCCATGCTGGCCAGACTGGTTTTCTTGAACTCCCGGCCTCAGGTGATCCACCCACCTCAGCCTCCCAAAATGCTGGGATTACAGTTGTGAGCCACCACGCCCAGCCTAACAGCCTTGCTTTTTGCAGGGAGAATGAACAGCCCCATACTCTCTTTAACCCCAATTTCTTTTTTACAGATGGGTCTCGCTGTGTCATCCAGGCTGGAGTGCAGTGGCACAGTCGTAGCTCACTGCAGCCTCCAATTCCTGAGCTCAAGCAATCCTCCTCCTTCAGCCTCCCAGGTAGTTGAGACTACAGGTGTGTGCCACCATGCCCAGCTTATTTTTTATTTTTTGTAGAGATGGGGTCTCACTATGTTGCCCAGGCTGGTCTCAAACACCTGAGCTCAAGCGATCCTCTCTCCTCAACCTCCTGAAGTGCTGGGATTACAGGCATCAGCCACTGCACAC